TTGGATTGAGGACGTAAAAGAAACATTTTGCAAATGGAACAAGACAATTTACATTTAAGATAAGAAAACACAATTCCATTGTCTTATTTCAAGTTCATTTTATCTAATTATCTTATTTTAAGAGAAGAAATACTCATCCCATTGGCAAATAATCTCATTTGCCTCCTCAAATTAAGGGTAAATACCCTTAATTTAAGACAATTTTACTCATTTCTAGATTGTTTTTCCAGTGAATCATTACATTAGCTCTCATGTCAGGTAGTCACAGCCCCCTAATGGCTGACTTTGGTAGCTGAGATGATGACCCAGCACTGACAGTTTGTCTATGTGACCAGCTGCTTGTTATGCATCTAACTGTGTGCCATTTACACACACTGGACAGGTTGTAGGGAAATGTGCTGAGACAGAATACTGTATATCACCGGTTTTCAGCCAGGGGTAGATTTTCTTTCAGCGTTATTGGTTCATAAGAACAGAACCACAATCAGAAGTTGTCATGTTCTATCACGTTTAAACTCAGAATGGGAAATATCTAAAAATCACGTTATGCTCTATAATAACCAGCCGAGTGAATTTGTTGGTTCAGGTATGCTGACTTGATCTTCTATCTGCGTGGGGTATGGCTCGGTCAATTAGTGATTTGCGGTTAGCCATTTAGAAAATTCCCTGATTTGTTTGTAAAAGAACATTTTGTGAAACAGATTATTGACAATTGACCCCTACTGTTACACCCAGCAACTTTACTGTGATCAAACCAATATCAGGCTGCTTCTCTGTGTTTTGTTTGTCAGTGTTAATAGAGTCAGGAAAACTAATTTGATTCTTCACACTGTGGAGGATTTGACCACTAGAGGAACCGACCGAGTTAATACCTGACCGCGTGACTACTAAGTAATTAGCTGTGACTATTAGGGCTAAGGAAGGAAGACAGGAGCTTAAAAGAGTTTAGTGAAACTGCAGTGCACCCGTGCACGTTCTATAATACATGAAATGAGGCGTTTATACAAGAGCATGTTCTCAAGGACATGATGACATATTCCTCCTTTCACTACGGTGGAAGTCATGATTCGGTTTGTACCCAGAAAATAGAGTTTATGCATAATTTGGAGATGTGTGTTTTAAAGCGGTGGATGAAGAGTCAGGATTGAAGGGTGTGTTGCATGGTGTGGAGAATTTTGTTCTATTACTTTTGCAAGCAAAAGAAGATGTTTTGTAAATGGAATATAAAAAAACACATTTTGGATATTTAACAAAATGCAATCCAGAAATGATTGAGAGTAACTTTAGTGTTTTCTCTGCTTTTGGTTTGTCAAATTACTTTTTTTTCAGTTTTATTGTGTTTTTTTCAGAAAGACATATTTTCATATTTCAACTTTTTTTCTACCTTCTTTCAAATGCTTGTTTCATTTTAGATATTTTCAAAGTAAAAAATTCAAATATTTTATCAAAAATTTAATTTTCCCCTAAAATTTCTTGTTTTCATTTTGTGTTTAAATGAATCCCATTATTTTCTAACTAAATTTTACAGATCACATCCTCTTTATTTCTGGAGCAAGCTTTCCTCTACAGTGAGAAGCCAAGATGCATTTCTACACTGGAAAAAATGAAAGTAATTTTTTCTTAAAATAAGTGCATTTGTTCTTGAATTGAGGAGATAAAAGAGACATTTTGCCAATGGAACAAGATTATTTAGATCTGAAATAAGAAAACACAATTGAATTGTCTTTTTTCAAGTGCATTTTATGCGAATTATCTTATTTTAAGAGTAAAAATACTCATTCCATTGGCAAACTATCTCATTTACCCACTCAAATTAAGGGTAAATACACTTAATTTAAGACATTTTTACTTATTTCTAGATCATTTTTCCAGTGTATTGCCTGCATGGACGTCAACAAGATTTTTTTATTAGTCAAAGGGGAGTAAAAAATTGAAACTTAACATTAGAAAATATATATAATTTGAAATGATAACATGAAAACTGAATAAAAAAGACATTTGAAAACCTAAATCTGAGAAAACGTCAGAGTTACTCTCTAAAACCTTTTTGAAAAAAAAAATCTTTCAAAGTTTAACTTCTAGATTGCATTGTTTTTTTATTTTAATCTACAAAGTGTGTTTTTCTTTAAATTTCCATTTATAAAAGGTTTTATTTGCTTGCAAAAATAATGGAGGAAAAAAGACACTCCATATTTATGTTGCACTCAGGGATTACTTTGTGGTATCACTGTAATTATTTTCTAATATGAAGACGGAGGAATATAAAACACATTATTTTGACTTTTCACTATGATTTAAAATAGAACGCTGAGGCCATCTGCTGGAGAAAAGTCCACGCATCAACTAAATTAGGTTTAAAAAAAATTTTAAATCTCTAATGTGGAGCAAAACTGCTTACATTTATTTTCTAAGGCAAAGCAAGTCTGTTAATACAGAACATTTCAGCAGTAAGACAATTTAAAGCTGAATGTTGTATTGATCGACTCATATCTGCTGGTTTATCTCCCCACACTGGAGCATTATCTTGTTATTTATCAACATTTTTCTCTTTTAGGTCTCATAATGGCTCAATTTTGGATGGCAAACCTTTGCGGCCAAAGTTATCTGTCCTTCAGCAGCAGCACATTAATACCTTAGTAAAATCTATTCTATGTGCACAGCTGTAATCACATGACTTGTTTATAGCTAAAAAGCTCTGCTAAAGAATTAAGTTTAAATTGGGGTGCTCTGCAGTTTTGCTACTTTGAACTCATCAACACAGTCTTTTACATTGAAATAACAAGTTAAAGCTGGTTTCAAAGTAATTAATTCAGAAGGCTTTTGTTTTATGCCTGGAACGATGGCTAATCCTCAGACAGAGAGCAGAGGCAACAAGGATGCAATAAACAGCAGAAACACAAAAACAAATTAAATGTAGGTACAAGTTGATAAAATGATTCAAGCGAAGAGTTTCAGGATGAATTTTTGCTGTCCTTGAGTGCAGGATGAATAGATGGATTAGGTTATGAAATCGCGTCAGCGTCTAATAGTACTGCTTCATCTATGTTTGGAACTCAACTTGTAATTCATGTGATTATGGATGGATGGATGGATGGATGGATGGATGGATGGATGGATGGATGGATGGATGGATGGATGGATGGATGGATGGATGGAATGAAGGTGGATGGATGGATGTATGTATGGATGGATGGATGGATGGATGGATGGATGGATGGATGGAATGAAGGTGGATGGATGGATGTATGTATGGATGTATGTATGTATGTATGTATGGATGGATGGATGGATGGATGGATGGATGGATGGATGGAATGAAGGTGGATGGATGGATGTATGTATGGATGGATGGATGGATGGATGGATGGACGGATTGATGAATGGAATGAAGGTGGATGGATGGATGGATGGATGGATGGGTGGATGGATGGATGGATGGATGGATGGATGGATGGATGGATAGATGGATGGACGGATTGATGCATGGAATGAAGGTGGATGGATGGATGGATGGATGGATGGATGGATGGATGGATGGATGGATGGATGGATGGATGGATGGATGGAATGAAGGTGGATGGATGGATGGATGTATGGATGGATGGATGGATGGATGGATGGATGGATGGATGGATGGATGGATGAATGGAATTAAGGTGGATGGATGGATGGATGGATGGATGGATGGATGGATGGATGGATGGATGGATGGATGAATGGAATTAAGGTGGATGGATGGATGGATGGATGGATGGATGGATGGATGGATGGATGGATGGATGGATGGATGGATGAATGGAATTAAGGTGGATGGATGGATGGATGGATGGATGGATGGATGGATGGATGGATGGATGGATGGATGGATGGATGGATGGATGTTATCAACAACATTTCATTAATGAATATGTGCATCAGGAGTAGTGAGCATTTGTATTGGAACTGAACTAGAGAATGGAATCTGTGGAAACATGATTTTAAAAACAATATCATTTGTACAACTCAATCAGAAAAACTGCAAAAAATAATTTAGAAAATATAAAATGTGTAAAAGAACAGAAAGGTGAAAATATTGGAAAAAGTTCATATTTAATAAATATAAAATCAATGGGAAAACTCCCTGACAAGAAATATATAAAAATACGATTAAAAAACAAAATAGGAAGAAAATAAAATCTGACAAAACAGCCAAGTTACTCTCAAAATCTTTTGTTTAATTAAAAATGTGTACTTGCATTCATTTTTATTTAGTTTTTTTCTCTCCATTTACAGTATAAACCGTGTTCTTTTTTTTTTTTTTTTGCAACAAAAATGGAATGAAATTCACTCCACAGTCAAGAAAGAGTGTTTGTATTGGCCTCGAAGTGAAGTCAAACTGGTAAAATAAAAATAAAATAATAATGAAATTAAAATATTCAAAGACTTGAAAAAAAATCGGTCTGAAAATTTTAATTAGTAACATTAAATGTTCGAAAATAGAACTTGATAAAAATTAAGTGAGACAAAGAAATCATAAGGAAAAAAAAGGAAAAACAACAAAGATTCAAAAGCTTTGTTTCTTTTTCGTTTTTTAAAGTTACATCTCTGGATAACATTTTTTTTTATTTTTTTTATTTACAAAACGTGTTTATTGAACTTTATTGAGCTTTTGTAGCTTGAACAAAATGGACTCCTGGTAAATGAGATGAGAAATCCATTTAAAAGTGGGGATCAATTCAAGTTAGAAAAGTGTAAACTGCTTTTAGAACAGTTCTAAGTTCGGGATCCTCAGGGACCCCTGGGGTCCAGCCGGTTGGTTCCATGAAGGGCCACTAGATGTCACACAAGGCAAAATGAACCAATAAAGGAAAATCCTTCTTTCATTCCATTAAGTCTCTAATAATGCTTCATCACAGTTTGAAATGTGATCGCATCCGAATCAAACCCATTGAATTCTACATTGAATCCCATTGAATCATTTGTTGATATCCGTGCGTCATCAGCTCACCGGCGGAGGATACCGCTGCGTCTCCGTCGTGCGTCAGAGCAGACCGGACCAAACGGGTCAATAAGTGCACCAACCGAACCAAGCATTAATGCATTAATTGAGCTCCACAACCAATGAAACGCTCTCGACCTGCGCGCCTCTAGCCGCGCATGACCCCCACCCCACGGAGTGACGCGTCTTGCAGCTGAGAGGTGGCCGCGGTGGCGGTGGAGCTCGGCGGGGAGGAGAGCCGGAGGAGATGCGCAGATCTGCAGGTCTCTAGCGCGGTCGTAAAACAAGCGCGAGACCCGGAGCCATGCCCGGTGTGACCAAGTACAATTTAGTGGATGACGCTCTCGATCTGAGGGTCCCCATGCACAACGAGGAGGTCTTTAATCATGGGGTCTGTTTCGAGGCAAAGGTAAGGACCTCCTGCAACAGATACTGAGGCTGGAGGAGAAGATGCTCAGGGAACAGATATGGCTGAAGATTTTTTCTCACTTTATAATTATCACCACATTGAAATGTTTGTGCCTGTCAGACATTAACCAGGTGTTAAATTTCCAACTGGATTATATTTATTTACTTTTTGAGATGGCTGTTGTTAAAAGCTGATGGTTCAATACCAGAAATACTTTTCAAAACAATCCAACTGTTTTTTATACTTTTGTTTCTCTTTTCATGAGTTTTAATAATTTTTATTATGAAGTCATGGCTTCAGCTGTCTGCTTTTTCCCCCCATAATGCATTAATTAACATAGAAATAATGTTTATTTTTTTATTTATGTATTATTTATTTATAAGTTTAATTTAGATTAGATTAGATTAGCTTTACTGATCTCACAGCGGAGAAATTCACTGGTCACATATTGGCATAATAATTAAAGAAGGTGCAAACAAGGAGGAAAAAGGTGCCTTATGAATAAACAATATATATATACAGTATATCAAGACAAATAGGATTAAGGTGCAAGTGTACATGTATCACACACAATGAAAAACATCATAAAAATAAGAAAAATAAATAAATACAAGGGAGTAACACAGAGATTTGAGGTGTCATATGTACAATTCTGATGGCTTATATACAGGTGGATTGACTTTTACATTAAAGTGTAGTAGGTGAGGAGCAACGGTGAGGTAGTGGTATGACTATTATATTCACATATATTGCACAGTCAGCATATTGCACAGAATATTGCACTGTCAATAAATAAAAAAACTATAATATAGCTGCACAGTGGTTTTTACAGGAGTTATTGTGGTTATAGTGCAGTATTATTGAGTCTGATAGCAGCAGGAATAAATGAATTTGAATATAAGACAATAAATAAAAAATAGAGAAGCAAAAGGAAAAAAGATATTACAGAAAAGGGAAAGTATTTTTTCAACAGGAGTGAGAAGATGAGAATGCTTTTTTATTCCATTCCTTCACAACAACAAAAAAACACAAAAATACTCTAAAAAATTACTTTTTATTTGATTTGTATATCATCTTCATTATATAATGCTTTCAACAATTTCCATGATAATAAACACCAATAGGAGCAGGTTTTAAACATAGTCGGTTTCCCGGCTTTCTTCATTATTATGGAACCTGTAACAGAAAAAGAAGGCAGTCATATTCATTCAAACCTGCTTAATCTGAACCCTGAATTCAAATAGTAAAAAATATAAAATAATAGTTGAACACTGTGAGAAAGATGAAAACCTCTCTAGTTTGAATATAACACTTGTCAGGGTTAAATTTATCCGACACTCGTATATAGTGTCAAAAGTTACCACACACTAGTGTTAAATGTTACGAGGATTGATGGATAGCTGAGGATCATCAGCATAGAAGTAGTATTTCATATTATGCTGCTACACTGTAGCCACCGCTGCCCTGGGGCACGCTGACAGAACAAGGCTTCTGTAAAAAGGCACTATTTGACACTATTCACCAATGCAAGGCAGGGATCTTGTAGCCTCGTGAGACCATCCTGATCTCGCGAGCTTTCAAGATTTCACTCGCTAATCAGTCTGGAGACTCTCCGTTGAAAAAAATTTGGAGCCGTTTACCAAACGAACGTCCAATCAGCGTTGGCTTTGAGGCGGGTTTAGGTGTGACGCAACGAGAAGCGCGACAGTTCAGTCTAAAGAACATGGCGGCTTCAGCCGATGAAACTAGCGTTAGCGTGGCTATCGAGCAAGTTTTATCGGAATTACAGAGTATTTCTTCACTAAGAGAAGAGTAAAACACTGCTCTGGAGGCTTTTCTCTGAGGAAAAGATGTTTTTGCTCTTCTCCCGACTGGTTTCGGCAAGAGTAGCCTGGCTGTTAGTACGTCATATGCTTTGTTGATCTGATTGGTTTATTTGGCCCGTCTATCACCAACATAGGCCAATCAGCTAACCAGTATTTTCTCCCCTTCCCAAAATTACTTCAACCGAAGGTTTCCAGATGGATATATGTGGACCAAATCCATCTGGCGGATTCAGGTTAGGAATCTTGCCTGAGGACACGGCATTTGGGAATGTCTAGACTGCCGTTATATAAAGTTATTTATCTGGAAACCTGTTTTAACATCCTGAAAAGATGAAACATGTTTACATGTAAATATCCAGTTATATAAAGGCCTTTCAGCCACTTATTAATAGATGTATGTTAATGTTAGAACATGATAGAATAGAATAGAATAGACGAGGAATTTATTTCAGACAATTTCACAAACAACAATAAATTAATCAGCCAAATATACACAAAAAAGACTAGTAAACAACAACCAAACAAAACACCAATTTCCAAACTTACTAAATTCACCTGAACATAAATAAAAACAAAACCCTCCACCAAATACACCTGTTGGTATATACAGCCAGAGAACTAACATTGATTAATGTAAATTGTCTCAAAAATGGGTCTGATGAAGTAAAACGTATTATTCATACACCCTCTCCCTCTAATTAAACCTAAATTAACTTAAAGTAGAGTAACCTTCCTGTTAAGCGTGTTTTTTTTTCTTTGATTTTCTAATATTCAAAAACCTGTATGTGTAGCTTTAAACTATGTTAAGTAAAAAAAAGAAAAAGTAAGTAAATCATTTTTCTTAATTATTTTTTAATATATATTGAATTCGCTTGCTGCCCAGCCTTGAAAAAGAACAGGAAAAATTATTTATTAAAATCTGGACTTTATCGGTCTGGCTAAGAAAGTTTTTTTGAATATAATTTAGGAGGAAAATTGGCACGAATAATGTGACACAAACGTAAAGTAATCCCTAAACTCTTCTGTCTTGCAGTATATAGGCAGCTTGGAGGTGGGTCGCCCAGGCAGCCGCATGGAGATAGTCGCAGCAATGAGGAGAATCAGAGTAAGAATATTTGCCTTTGTTGACACAGACACTGTATTCAAAACCCGCTGAAAATACCTGATCTGAATCTTTAACACGCTGTCAATCATTGACGTCTTTGAACGGATCCCAGCAGCATGCTCTGATGTTTTAGAAAGCAACCGCTTCACATTCTCTTTACCCACAGATCAGTCGATGCACAGCTCAACATCGGTCAGATTCAGTGGGTTGTCACAAGCGGTTCAGATCTTATGACGAGATAAGAAGAAAAAACAAACAAACTGAAAATTCTCCTGCATAAGACGAGGCTGCCAAACACGAAGCACTGCAGAGGCACACAGCTGCACAGAGAGCAGAGGATTTAGCCGCCTGTCAGCTGTTATATCTAATCTAACAGCCAAGTTGTTGTGCCACCCAGAGGTCAGCTACATCCACACCCAGAAAAAAAAAAAAAACTTAATCCAGATCCGGTACCAGCAGACCACTGGTAATGGCCATTTTATTCTACTTCTAAACATTTACTGCAGCAGTTTCTTGCACTTGACTTATTGTTTTTTTTGTGTTCTTACGACTCTGCAGAGACATTATTAGTATAGTGCAGAAGATTTAATAAGAGACATGCTCGATATAGCTGCTCAAACAAAACGGGATAATACAGGAAGCCCCACATTGCTCAGCATAATCCAGGCACTCAAGAGCTTTCTGGCTCAACATGCATTTTCCATCTGTTTGGAAAAGAGCATTTTATTTTATTTTTTTTATTAAATGCTTGGATTTGGTGCCTTCTATCGTAAAGCAAACAAAGAAAAAAGAAAATCCTGAAGCTGTGAAAAAAGATGCTCCAAAATGACAAAAATGTGATACCTCAAAGCTTGCCTATGAAAGAAGCAGTGTGGCAGCTATGATTCTCTCACTCTGCACGCACCAAGATCACACAGACTGAATATTCAAAAGGTGAGGTGTCCTTAAAACTCCCACAAGAGGACTGAAGCTGAGCCGCCTCATCTTGAGGCGGAACGGTCCTTGTGAATTGGTTTCAGGCAGATGTGCGTGAAAACGTGAACACTCCCTCTGTTCCACTTCATCTCCCTCTGACAGCACTGTGTTGTGAGATGGATGGTCCTCCTGGCCCAGTTTATGAGGAACAACGGACACGGACTCGCACGCACCCCGTGTCCTTCACCTGCATGTATAGAACCCTGGATGCTTGTTGAAACTCCCACACAGCTACATGATGGATTAACTGGATGAGAGCACATGTCACAAACACAGGATCGACGGTTTATAGACAGAAAAATTCCAGTTTTCTGGTTTTCTTTTTTTTTTACTCATAAAACACCTTCACCTGGTGTTCAGCAAACAATAATCTGTCATGAACTGAGGAACCCAGTATTCAAGGAGAGACAGTCAGTAGGAAAGTTCAAAAGGTTTATTAAATGAAAAAACTAAACTAAACCGCCCAATCTCAGATACTCTGTAGTGGGAGAAACACAGGTAAGTGACCACGATCATCTGACAGAAGATGATTATCTGAGTTGGTCACTTACCTGGTTTAACAGTCCAGTCCAAGATGTCCCCAGCTATCCCAGAAGTCATGCAGGAAAGCTTATCCTGGAAGGGATCCAGAACAGACCGAACAGGATCCAGATCAGGCAGGAACAGACAGGTGGCAGGATCCAGGCTTCCAGACATCATACAGTAGAGCTCCCAGTTGGGTTCAGAGTCTGAGAGAGTTCCGAAGGATGACCAGACGGTCACGCACAGGAGCAGACAGGATCAGGTGCAGATGAGCAGGCTCAGAGGAAGAGGGTAGCCAAGACAGGACGTGGAACCAGAACTTGATGCAGGACTTTAAACTGGTCTCCTCCCTGGAGCCAGGCTTACTGAGATAAAAACTGAACCTCCCCACATAATGAGCCAAAAACCCAGAGGACTCCACGGGGGAGGAACAGTGGACGATCAGGAGACGAGACAAACACAAAACCCTCTTTCCACTGGCCGCCAGGATCCACATCATGAACCAAGAATCAAAATAACAGACAGACTAACAGAAAGACAAACAATGATCTGGCCCTGAATGCTCAGGCTGAACTGAATATAAACCAAAGGAAACGGGCGAGAGGAATAAATTATAATAGAGGCAGGGAGGGATAACAACAGGTGAAAGGAATGACTAATTAAGGGAGAGCAAACAGGCCAGATCATGACATCATCTCTGTTTTTCTACCACATTCATGTTAATACCTAAAGCCAGGATGCTTGTAGAAGTAAACATTGCTACATCTGAGAGATAGGCTGATATCATTTTTAATTAGGAGGGTTTCCTATAGATTTTTTTACCCGCATTTTTAAAAATGCAACATATGTTGGCCTTACTTTATGAAACAATGTATGAATTTTTAATAAATTGCCTAAATCCTAACTGCATACATCTAATTATTGGAATTTGATGTGTGAAGACATATCGTTAGTTTTGCCCTTGTGTTATACATTAGCTGTGGAAAACAGAGCAGATCTCCTCTCTGCTTGTCTTTGCTCTGACTGCATACAGGGCTTCCAGGATGAGGCAGCTGGCTGCATGTTTTATGAGACCGAAGCAGCAATATGATTGCTGCTTTCATGTAAAGTTGCTACAACTTGACAACGGCACAGAAAAACGTCACTAGATATGTTTCAAGTTGCTTTTCTAAAAAATAAAAGTTTCTAGAGGGCCTGGATCCCAAAATATAACAACAAAAGTGTTACTGTAAGTTGCCAGCATATAGCAAAGAGCTTGAATACTGGGGATTTTTTCTTGTAGGGCATTGGCTAATACCTGCACTTGTTCGCTGATTAAGTAGTGCATTGGTTTCCAATCCACCCACCAACATAGAAACTAAATGTTACGCAGTTAATTGGGTAACATTTAGTTTGAGGTCAGTGAATTTATTTTAACTTTGCAACATAATTTAACATTGCAATCATATTTTTTTGTGTGTTTAAATACTTCTTAAATGGGCCATTAACTCAGTTTAAAGGAATAGTACACCCAAAACATGATTAGCCTTCATTTTCTACTCACCCCCATGCTGAACAACACTCTGGAGTACTTTTTTGATATCTCAAATGCATCTGGAGATCTGGGAGGCTTCTTGCTGTCTGCTGACATTCAAATAATGGAGGTCTATGGCGCCCGAGGCAGAAAGGTCCATAAAAGTCCACAAAAAAACGTGTCAATATTTCTCCATACTGCTCGTCCAATGTATTCCAAGTGCCCTGAGTGTGTAGCGTCCATAATTTACTCGAAACAAAGTCATTTAGAATGTTTTAGAGCCTAAACAGTAGTGTATAGGATTTCCTAAAAGCGCCCGCGAGTTCACGACTCTACGGAAACCGCGGCAGACCGAGGAATATTGACACGTTTTTTGTGGACTTTTATAGACCTTTCTGCCTCGGGCACCATAGACCTCCATTATTTGAATGTCAGCAGACAGCAAGAAGCCTCCCAGATCTCCAGATGCATTTGAGATATCAAAAAAGTACTCCAGAGTGTTGTTCAGCATGGGGGTGAGTAGAAAGTGAAGGCTAATCATGTTTTGGGTGTACTATTCCTTTAATTCTACCATGAAACCCCTGTATTTACACTGTTCCACCCCTACTTCTCTATTGCTGCTCCCCTCCATTTTCTATTATTGATTATATTTAGTTTGAATTGTCAATAAATGTTTCTTTTTTGTTTAATTTGAGACTTGTGTCACATTTGTTATAACTGTGCTACTCATATCATGAAAATATCTCCAAGAATTAGGGAACTGTCAATGTCAAAATTATTGGCCTTCAAAAACCTGTATAGGCTGATCTCTATCAGACGTACACATTTTGAAATGCTTAAACTCTACTGCTCAGTATCACACATTGTAAAGCAGATGGAAAAATGCTCTTCTTTCATCATTCTTAGTTGTTGTTTTTTTAAGGATAGATCAAATTAATTGGCTTTTGAATTCAGATCCCTTAATTGAATCCAGTGCAGCTTAATTGCTTTCAGAAGTCATCTAATAAGTAACAAAACTGTGCTTCATTTAATTTCTAAAATCTCCTTTTCTCTTAACAATGATATAAAAAATACATAAGTAAAGAAGAATTATAAAACAGTACACTTAAAATACTAAAAAAAGTATTAGATTCTGACTGGAACAGCACTGGGAATGCATTATGAATGTTGGTTTTCACTGAAAAGGTATTCAGATGTGGTGAGTAAATGTCCTTATTAATACTGATACTAGTGATAGCAATGCTACACTGAAAAATAATTTAAAATTGAGTCCAAATTTCTTAAAATAAGTGTGTTAACATTTAATTTGAGTTAGATAAGGTGATCGGTAATGAGTATTGCACAATAATTGTTATTGATACTGAGCAGCAGTGTAAATTGTAAATACTGTTGATTGTATATAATGTGATCCTTATCTTATTTTATTCTTGTATCTCATTTTATACTTTTTACATGGGAAAGGTGTCATTTTTCTGTGTGGGTAGTAATTTTACTGATTTTACTTATTTTATTACTATATTATATTGTTGTCCTATTATACTTACAATCTTATTCTTCTCTCTTCTATAAATGCAAGAGAGAATTTCCCCCAAGAGTAAATCAAATAATTTTGATTCAGATTTTTACCCTAACATAAGATTAGATATAATACATTTGAAATAAGAGTCTGCAGTTCTTTTTCTCTTATTTTAAATGTAAATGATCTCATTCCGATGATAAAGTGTCTCACTTATCTGTTCAATTAAAGAAAAAGAATGCACTTATTTTAAGAGAATTTGACTTACTTAGAATTAAATTTTTGCAGTGTAATTTAGTCTCTCTATAGTCTAAATACAAACACATTGACTGACAGACAGACAGACTGCCAGCAGATGAAACCATTTCTGTTTCCTTTAGGTCATCGCGCCCTGCGCTGGAATTCTATTCATGCTCAAAATGCCTGATAAAAAAAAATCGCTTCATGTTTATAACCTTATTTTATAATCAAAAGGTTTTTTTTGGTGTTTTTGTAGGCATCTAACATAACTATGCACATTTAATGAAGTAATCTCTAAAACCATCAATCCAGCTTCAGGAGATCAAGCTTTTAATCGGCAAGACATTTTGCCAAATAACATAGCATCAAAGAGCATCAAATAAAAAAAACAAATCATTAGAGAACAATGCTAAGAAATTCTTTTAAAGTTTAATATATTCCTACATTTTGTTGGTTGAAATTATGAGTACTCAGTGTGGAGGGCCTAAAGAGCCACATGTGGCTACCTTTTCACAGGCTTTGGACCCCTGGTATAACAAAACTGGATACCTATGAAAGCATAGCTATCAACTGTAAAAGACAGGGAGCATTAATCCAAGAAGCAGCAACAGGCCTCACTAGAGGGGGAATCCTGTGATCCACAACCTTGTCGATGGGACGGTTTTTAGGATGATATGCAAGAAGAAAGCCAAAAAGATTTAGGATTGCCTTTAGGCAAACTTTAAGCAGTGTAACCCCAAATATAGAGCTAGAGCAGCAATGGAGGAGTCTACTTTTAAGCAGTCATGGCCGTCATGACCATGCTTGTTTTATATGAGTCTGCTCCAGCACACCCGGATCAAATGATTAGATGACCTGCTCAGCAGCCATTAAGGGCTGCAGAGGCAAGATAATCAGGCTGTTATTTAAATCAGGTGTCTGGAGGCCATGAAAATCCTAAAACATGCAGTCTAAATGCACGCCTAAATCCAGTAAAGAATATGTGGCCAGAGCTTTGATGTTCAAAGGTGCTCTTCATCTAATCTTTCTGATCTTGAGCTGAGTGTGTAGATCATCAAAGCTGGTGGACACATACCCCCAGAACTTTCAGTATGTATGCAGACTCGTTTGGAGAGGTGCTGACTTTTTAGATTTTTTATTCCTTTATTTTTCATTATTTTTTAATATTTGTGTCTTTTTGTTGTTCTGTGACATGAAGAAAAAATCCTGACAAAATACTCTGATGTTTGCTGTGGTAACATCACCAAAAAGGTTGCAAGGCCTCATTAGAGCCAGCTCTAGAGTTGTTATTTTTTACTAAAATGAAAGCAGAGATGAGAGAGAATATCTTTGTATGTCATGCAGAGAGGAAGAGGATGTTTGCCCTCTGATTTTACAGAAATTCCTCTGATCAGTTAATCATCTGAAGTTTGACTTGATTTTGTTTTTTTCTCACTACTTCTATTAGATTGGAGAAATGTAGTGAAAGCAGAATATCTGGTATTAATCATGCAGAGGGATAAAAGTGTCCCACACATGACTGACTCCCTCTGGCAAGGCAGCATTTGAAACCTTCAACATCTACCAGAAACAGAAACTGACAGTTCCTCCATTTTCTCCCCAGTGGAGAAGATAAAAATAATCCCCCAGCAGCGTGGTCCCTTCTCTTTTTTATTTAGTTTGTAAAGGGCGATTCCTCTCAGCAGAAATATTCAGTCCACAAAGTTAATGACTTTTCTTTTTTCCAGTATGAGTTCAAGCTGAAGAACATAAAGAAAAAGAAGGTCAACATCCTTGTATCCACTGACTATGTCAAAGTGATCCTGCGGAAAAAGAAGAAGGTAAGACACAGGGAAATAGTTGATCAGGTTTCCAAGAAGTAATTTGATCTCTTTTTTTAATAATTTTGTATGTCTGGTTTTGTGTTGCAAAAGAGAAAGGGCTGGTCATGGGACGAGAGCTCCATGTTGCTGACACAGGACCCCATATACAGGTGGGTAAAGGAAGATATCTGATCACCCTTTCAGAAAAAATACAACAAATTTCACATATGAAAATCACATGTGAAACCCATGTACCGTATTCTAATCAACTAACTGGAGCATGTCAAAATTTTAATGCAAAAAAAACTGAATCAGCTGTGATTCATTTTCACATGTAATAAAACTGTCCCTCAAGCAGGAATCATATTTAAAAACGTGTTTATAACATGTAATTTCCACGTTTTTTTCATGCAATACACATGTGCCTTAAATCACGTGCTTTAAATGGGAATCACATGGGATTCCAATGTTTTTTTGTTCTTTTTACATGGGATGCACAGGTGCCTCAAATGGTGAATCACATGTGCTTTAAATGGGAATTAGGTGTAAAAGAGGTATCACGTGCAATTCACATGTGATACACATGTGCCTCAAATAATAATCACATGTGATTTAAATGGGAATCACGTGTTTGCACATTTGATTCCCATGTTTTTCACATGTGATACAGATGCACCTCAAATGTGATTCACATGTGCTTCAAATGGGCATTACTCTATGTGATTCACATGTGCTTCAAATGGGCATTACTCTATGTGATTCACATGTGCTTCAAATGGGCATTACTCTATGTGATTCACATGTGCTTCAAATGGGCATTACTCTATGTGATTCACATGTGCTTCAAATGGGCATTACTCTATGTGATTCACATGTGCTTCAAATCTGCATTACTCTATGTGATTCACATGCAGGGCCGGCGATTGCTATAGGCGAGCTAGGCAATTGCCTAGGGCGACAAATGTGTTGGGGGCGCCCTCTAGCGTCGCCCTTAAGCTTACTTCCCATTAATCATAGAATTAGAAAAAAAAGCGAATTAAACCGGTTATGAAGCGTCCGTCAGTTTGACTTAACTTTACGTATATATAAATAGCAAAATATGAACAAATAAATTAACACCGTTTTTTTATTTATTTTTTCACATTTAAGAGAAAATCGGAAAAGATTCTGATCACTTTTCAAGCGCCCTCCAACCCGGAAGTCGTGACGTCAATCACTGCAGCATGTACACCAATATTTTGGAATGAAATTGTAAGCAAACAGATATTAAAAGTAAAACAAGTGAAGTATGGCACTTAACTTTTCCTCCTCCTCCTGCCGCCGCAGTCGGGCCCATCTTAATCATCCACTCAGAGTACCACTGGTAAGCGCACACAGACTTTGTAGCTTGTCCGGTCAGTTAAAAATAGTAATTGTGAAATCCGTCTTGTAATCGGAAGCATACAAGCTAGTTAGCTTGAAAAGTAAATAAAGTTTCAGATGTGCTGCGTGATGATGTGTTCAGATTGGCTCAGTAAAATGACAATTAGGTTATCATGATGCGTTCAAGTGTAACGTAAAGAAAACGGGAAATTTAGTTTTTGGCGAGAAACATGAGTAATACAGTTGTATATTGCTCTATATATAATTAAACTACTGATGCCAACATTTATTAGAAATTACATTTAATTTAAAATACAATTATTTATTTGTTAAATATTTTCCTAATCACTAAAAACATGATGAAAAGTGACAGTAGACAATACATTAACCAACAATTGTGAAAATATATTCTAGTTAGTTTTATGTCATTTCGAAGTGGCCTATTACATTAGCCGTGTTTATTGAAGGCTAGAAACGTTTTTGTTATGCTCACTTGTTAAGCAATAGAAGCAATACCAGTTCTGTTAAAAAAAATTTGTTGCATCGTCTTTCCACCAAATAACAGAAAAGTATCGATAGTGGTATCGATAAAGACTCGGATCGATAAGGAGTATCGATAAAGGTATCGATATCAATAAATATTAACGATCCCCATCCCTAATGTTGACATCATTTTTTTCTCAGTATATATGCAGCAGAATTATGTGCTATATTATTAGCTTGAGAATGGGTAGAAGATACTAATATAAATAAAATATTTTGTAGTGATTATCTGCATTGAGTATTCAAAAGGGATGTACAAATAATCATCAAAATATATGAAGTTATGGCTGTTCATCATAGAATATGTGAACAAAAAAAAAACAAGAACTTCAAACTTTTAATTTTGTAATGGTATTCATAAAAGCACTTTTGTTTGTAGAGGGTTAATCCTTTCTTTAATCACTAATCAATGTCAGAAATCAGGGTAAATATACCTGATATATTTTATTTAGAGGAAAATTTTGTTTATCTCATTTCTATTTATGATCAAATGATTTAATTGAACTGGAACAGAAAATTTAATTTAATGTTTATCAATTACTTTTTTATGTAGTCCTTGGTTGAAGAATTTCTTAAATTTATTATTTTTTATTGTTATTTGGTAATTTCTGAAATTGATTTATTTAATATTTGTTTAATGTGTGTTAAATTTGTTAATTGTCTGAAATAAATTCATTCAATGATTCAATCCAGTTTTTTAGCTATACTTTACC